AAAAGGTTAAGAACCACTGCCCTATGCTAAAGTAATTTCTCCCATCCCTCCAATAAGAAAATCCCCAACTGAAACCCAATATTCTGGAGAGTTAAATTTTGCTTACATGTGGTTTTTGTTGACTTCACTGAGCCATCAGAGCTCCAAATGCACACCCAAGGATAGAGGTTGACCCTAAGAATATCCCTGGTTAAAGTTACCTCCTAATATTCTTAGCCTTGGATGATCCTTGAAATAAAGTTACTACCCCACTACCAAGAATTTCATACTTCCCTCATACAAATATCCCAAGTGAAGTTTGTCCTGTAGGGATTTCCACAATGGGGAACCCATCTCCAAAGGCCTCTAACTGTCTAACAAACGTAAGGAGACAAATTAAATATAGCCCAATAAATCCTAGCACAGATGAACGAGAAACCCTCAATAATCCCTGCCAAACAGTCAATACATAAAGCATCACTCGCATAAGATTAAAAAGGAAAACGGACATTTTTTGTGCTGTCCCTGGAAAGATGACATAAATATGTGTTGGTGTGTACTGAAAGACAGGAGTATTCCAATGTCATGGGCTGGCACAAGAGGAGACTCTGCCATCAAAGATGGTAAATTATTCCGCCTTTAATTTATCTCATTAAATTAATATGGGAATAATTAATAAGGAATTATTAAATTAATATGTAATAATTTACCTCATTACATTAATAGGAGATCTGCCTTTTTTCATACTGGGACATACAAAGAGCTTATGGTTTTGGCAGCAGAGGCCATAGACAGACTGTACCCAGGCCCTGTTACAAAAGTGGTGGAAAAAGAGACTCCTCGGTTTTAGACATGGGGGCCAGGCAGATCTCATCATGATCACATGTTATTGATTATTTATTTCCAGCAGATCATATTCTCAGTACAAAGCCATTGAAGATCTCAAACCAATTTATTCCATGTTACAGAAATGTGTAGACTGAGGGCAGCATTTCCCCCTTAATACTTTGATGGTGTGTTGTCAACACATTTTCCAATTAAAATCAAAGAGCAAAAAGATTTTTAAGTATTGCCCTTTTGCAGTTTATTGAAATCTTGGTTTTCTCCTGACCCAATATGTGCCCTGATTTTTTGCCACTAGATGGTGCTCTTTCCTTCATAGCCAAGAGTCCCTTATGGATGTTGGCCAAGAAGACCAACAGCATATTGGGCTGTATTAGTAGGAGCATTGCCAGCAGATCAAGGGAAGTGATTATTCCCCTCTATTCGGCACTGGTGAGGCCACACCTGGAGTATTACATCCAGTTTTGGTCCCCCCACTACAGAAGGAATGTGGACAAACTGGAGAGAGTCCAGCAGAGGGCAACGAAAATGATTAGGGGGCTGGGACACATGACTTATGAGGAGAGGCTGAGGGAACTGGGGTTATTTAGTCTGCAGAAGAGAAGACTGAGGGGGGATTTGATAGCAGCCTTCAATGCCCTCACGCTGGCTCACGTGCCAGGGCAGAAGCCAATAACAATGGCACTCTCCTGGCTGTCTCTGCTTTTCAAAAACAATCACTCCATAGCTGACCTCTCAGTCCTTATCCTCAAAGGAAATCTGTACAAAACCTTCAAGAGATGAGCCTGTCTTAGGCCATGTCTGTAGTGTAGCTGCACTACTGCTACAGCATGTCTGGTGAAGACGTGTTATGCTGACAGGAGAGAGCTCTCCCGTCGGCATAATAAAACCACCTCTGCAAGCAGCAGAAGCTTTCCCGCAGACATAGCGCTGTGCACATGAGCGCTTATGTCAGTGGAACTTATATCGCTCAGGGGGGATGGTTTATTTACACCCCTGAGTTACATAAGTTATGCTGACATAGGTTGTAGTGGAGACATAGCCTTACATTCATAACTTCGTTAGACCCTAAAAAATATGGATTCAATGAAGACACTGATTTGTGGCTCCTTGCAACAATCTATCACCCACTAACCCTCCTTTGTCCTACACTTGCAAAAGAGTTAACTGCCCACTTCAATGGTATCTTACAACATAACTCCTTACAATCTGTTCCACCCAGGGCCGGCTCCAGGCACCAGCTAAGGAAGCAGGTGCTTGGGGCGGCTAATACAAAGGGGCGGCACTCCGTCCGCTATTGGGGCAGCCAGTCCGGGTCTTCGGCAGGAATTCGGCAGCGGGTCCCTCAGTCCCTCTCTTCCTCTTTGAGCTGCCGCTGAAGAGGAAGAGAGGGAGTGAAGGACCCGCCGCCAAACTGCCGCCGAAGAATGGAGTGGTGCGATTGAGCTGCCGCCGAAGTGCCGCCGATCGGCTTTTTTTTTTTTTCCCACTGCTTGTGGCAGCAGAAAACCTGGAGCTGGCCCTGGTTCCACCTTGTATTTAGCTGTGACACTGAGTACCCAGGGCCGGTGCTATCATTAAGGCAAACGAGGCGGTTGCCTAGGGTGCCAAGATTTGAGGACGCCAAAAAGCGGTGCCCCCAATTTTTTTTTTACAGCGTTCCTGGGCTGGGCTGCCAGTGGTGCGCGCTGACATGTGCGGCTCAGACTCCCTCTCCCAATGCAGCGGCCGCTCCACTTCTCCTGGCTCCCAGGCTTGCGGCATCAATCAGCTGTTTGGCGCCACAAGTCTGGGAGAGGAGGAGAATTAGAGCGGGGGCAGTGTGCTCGGGGAGGAGGCAGAGCAGAGGTGAGCTGGGGTGGGGAGCTGCCGCACGGCTCCCCAGGCTGGGGGGGTGGGGAGCTGCTGCAGGTGGGGGGTGCCTCAGGGTGTGGGGGGAGCTGCCGCAGGGCTCCCCACCCCAGCTCACCTCTGTTATGCCCCCTCCCCGAGCACGCCGTCGCTGCTCCACTTCTCCCGCCTCCCAGGCTTGTGGTGCCAATCAGCTGTTTGGCACCGCAAGCCT